TCTGTGGGATCACCCTTCTTTGGAATGGGTACAAATATGGATCTCTTCCAGTCAGTTGGCCAGGTAGCTGTCTTCCAAATTTCTTGGCATAACTGAGTGAGTGCCTCCAGTGCGGCACCCATTTGTTGAAACATCTCAGTGGGTATTCTGTCAGTTCCTGGAGCCTTGTTCTTCGCCAATTCCTTCAGTGCAGCTAAGACTTCTTCCTTCAGTACCATTGGTTCTTGATCATATGCCACCTCCTGAAATGGCTGAACATCGACCAGTTATTTTTGGTGCAGTAACTCTGTGTATTCCTTCCATCTTCTTTTGATGTTTTCTGCATCATTCTCAGTATTGCAAGTCAAGGCTTAAATTTTTTCCTCAGTTCTTTCAGCTTGAGAAATGCCGAGCATGTTCTTCCCTTTTAGTTTTCTAACTCCAGGTCTTTGCACATTTCATTACAGTAATTGGCTTTGTCTGCTCGAGCTGCTCTTTCAAATCTTCTGTTCAGCTTTTTTATCTTGTTATTTCTTCCATTTACTCTCCATTCTAGGGCAAGTTTCAGAGTCTTTTCTGACATCCGTTTTGGTCTTTTCTTCCTTTCCTGTCTTTGTAATGACCTTTTGGTTTCTTTATGTATGATGCTATTGATGTCATTCCACAATTCCTTTGGTTTTCAGTCATTGGTATTCAATGTATCAAATCTATTCTTTAAATGGGCTCTAAATTCAGGAGGGATATAATCAAGATCATATTTTCACTCTCGTGGACTTGTATTGTCTTCAACTTCAACTTGAACTTGCATATAAGCAGTTGGTGGTCTGTTCCATAATCAGCTCTTGGCCTTATTTTGGCCGAAGATATTGAACTTCTTCTCCATCACCTCTTGACACAGATACAGTCAATCTGATTCCTGTGCACTCCATCTGGTGAAGCCCATGTGTATAGCTGCCATTTGTGTTGTTGAAAAATGGTATTTGCAATGAATAAGTCATTGGTCCTGCAAAATTTATCATGTGATCTCCAATGTTACTTCTATCACCAAGGCCAAATTTTCCAACTACCAGTGATTCTTCTTTGTTTCCAACTATTGCCTTCCAATCACCACTGACAATGAACACATCCTGATTGTACATCTGGTCAACTTCAGATTGCAGAAGTTGGTAAAAATCTTCAACTTCCTCATCTTTGGCTTTGGTGGTTGGTGCCACAAAATTGAATAATGCTAGTATTAACTGTTCTTCCTTATAGGTGTATGGATATTATCCTATCACTGACACCATTGTACTTCAGGACAGATCTTGAAACATCCTTTCTGATGATGAATGCCATGCCATTCTTCTTCAACTTGTGATTCCCAACATAGTAGATCACATGGTCGTCTGATTCAAAATGGCCAAAACTGGTCCATTTCAGCTCACTAATGCCTAGGCTATTGATCTTTATGTGTTCCATTTCATTTTTGACAACTTCCAATTTTCCTAGATTTATACTTCATACATTCCATGTTCCAATTATTAATGGATGTTTGCAGCTGTTTCTTCTCATTTTCAGGCATGCCACTTCAGTAAATGGAGGTCCCAAAAGCTCTACTTTATCCATATCCTTAAGGTTGGCTCCTCTCTGATGAGGCAGCTCTTTCCTAGTCCTGTTTTGAGTGCCTTCCAACCTCGGGCTCATCTTCTGGCACCATACTGGACAATGTTTCAGGGCTATTCATAAGGTTGTCCAGTAATATATCAGAGAGTCTGCTGTTCACAAGGGTTTCCTCACCCAACTCTTTGAGAAGTAGATGGCCTCTTCCTTCTTCTGTCTCAGTCTGGAAGCTCCATTGAAACCCTTCCACATGGGCAACGCTGCTGGCATTTGAAACACCAGTTGCACGCTTCCCGCCTCACAGAACCATGCAAGCCACCACAGTATGACAAAGTGACAGACAAGTTAATCTCCAAACCCCTCCACTCACTCCCTGGCCTTCCCCCCTTATCTGTATCTGGCTGTGGGCCCTGGCTTCCTGCTTCCTGCCTGGGGGCTCTCTCCCCCCTTACCTGTACCTGGCCAGTGATCCTTCAAGGTTTAGGGTCATGCTTTCATGGGGCAGCCCAGTTAATTGGCCTGATAACGTGTTTAGTGCTTCTGTTTGACCTCCTAGTTTGTTGCACAGTGCCTGGGGTCTTCAAAGCTCACAAGCGGCCCCCAAGGCACTACTGGTCCCTGTTCTCCTGGGGCAGCAGAGAAAGAAGAGTCAGGCACAACAGGGGGCATGGCATGTGTGGCCACTGCTCCCTTTCCCAGGAGACCAGAACTGGACAGTCCCTGACCATCATTACTGAACATTGTGATCAAAGATTCCCTGGAAGAATCTTGATCAAAAGGGGGGAAATGCAGAAATTGCCAATTCTCATGGAATCTGGACTTCCTGGAACCATGGAGGCTGGATGAACTCCTGAAACTACTGCCCTGAGATGATTATTTTATTTTATTTTGATTTGGGTGAAGATTTACAGAGTAAATTCACTTTTCATACAGCAGTTCACATAATATACTTTGTCTCATGTCATTGACCAACATTTACAATGCCACCGCTCCCCTCCCACTTCCTCCCCATAGTTACCTCTTCCCAGTGTCCATCCCTCCATACTCTTCTGTGCCCTGAGCTGTCTCCCTGTGCATAAGCAGCCCTTCCTTCTCCCATGATTGTTCCCTGAGATGATTTTTAAACTTTAAACCAAAACTATTTTCTGAAGTCCTCTTAAAACCAAGCAACAGTTGGTGGTCAACAACGTCTGCCTTGGGCACTGTGCCCATCCAAGAACTGTCACTACGGAAGCAAACGGACAACTGCAACTAGAAAGGAACCTTGGGGCGCTGAGTTTATGTTAACGTGGGAGGACCAACTCAGAGGAGGGCGAGCACGGCAGCACAACTCGGTGAATACGGTCCGTGTCACGGTTGCGCATGGAGAAACTGCTGAATGGGTGTCTTTTGCTGCGTATATTCCCAACAAGAACAACAACAAAATTAACCACGTTGTCAGTAATAAATCTATTTATTTTAAAATACGAAAAGAAAAAGAACACATTGGCACTTCTCCTACAGGTCTGAGTCGGAGCCCACTCGTGACAGTTCTCAGACAGAAATCACACTTTCTGGTAAGGGCGGACTCCCTCTGCCCGGGAGTGGACCCCTGGGGGTTGGGCCTTCCCCGGGGGCTCAAGCTGCTCTCCCCGCAGAGAGACCCGGCATCTCCATCCGGACCATCTTCAGCAACATTTCCAGCACCGTCAACCAGAGGGAGTCCTCCAAGGCCAGCTGTATACTGGGGGTGGGGCCGGGGTGGGGGTAGACACGGGACTCCCGGGTCCAAGGGAGGGGGCGGGGGGCCAGGACTCCCGGGCCTGAGGGAGGAGGGGCTGGCCGCTGCCTCTGACTATCCCCACCCTGCCCGCTGCCCGCTCACAGGCCCACTTGTCTGAGCCCGACAGCATCACCATCGGTGGATACACGATGGAGGCCCCTCCCCGCTGTGTCTCAGAGGACAGCCCTGACTTCCCCTCGACAGCATCCGAAGACCAGCTGGAACAGGACCTGTGGGAGCAGGACATCAGGGAACTCATGGACACCACGTCCACCTCCCTGTCCTCATCCTCCTTCTCTCCAGCTACGCGCACCACCACCACCTTCTACCACTGCACACCCTACCCCTCCCTCCCCAGGCACAATGTCAAGGCCGGGCCACTGGCCGTCCAGAAGGCCTCGTCCGTCCCTGCCATGTCTGGGAAGAGTCCATTTGTCCAGAAGGTCCAGAAGGCCCCAGCTGTACCTACCTCCTCCCAGAAGGCCCCTTTCCCGTCCCAGAAGGCCCCTGTCCCATCCCAGAAGGCCCCTGTCCCATCCCAGAAGGCCTCTGTCCCATCCCAGAAGGCCCCTGTCCCATCCCAGAAGGCCTCTGTCCCATCCCGGAAGGCCCCTGTCCCATCCCAGAAGGCCCCTGTCCCATCCCAGAAGGCCCCAGCTATAACAGCTACATCCCAGAAGGCCTCTGTCCCATCCCAGAAGGCCCCAGTTGTTTCTTTCACATCCCAGAAGGTCCTCCCTGTCCCTGTCCCATCTCAGAAGACCCCAGTTGTCCCTGCCCAACCCCAGAAGGTCCCACCTGTCCCTATCCCATCCCAGGCCCCAACTGCTTCTGTCCCATCCCAGAAGGTCCCTCCTGTTCCTGTCCCATCTCAAAAGCCCCCAGTTGTTCCTGCCCCATCCCAGAAGCCCCCAGTTGTTCCTGCCCCATTCCAGAAGGCTCCCCCTGTTCCTGTCCCACCCCAGAAGGTACCCCGTGTCCATGCCTCATCCCAGAAGCCCCCAGTTGGCCCTGCCCCATCCCAGAAGGCTCCCCTTGTCCCTGCTCCATCCCAGAAGGTACCCCGTGTCCATGCCTCATCCCAGAAGTCCCCAGTTGGCCCTGCCCCATCCCAGAAGGCTCCCCTTGTCCCTGCCCCATCCCAGAAGGTCCCCCCTGGCCCTGCCCCATCCAAGAAGACCCCAGTTGTCCCTGTCCCATCCCAGAAGGCTCCCCGTGTCCCTATCATTCTCCAAAAGGCCACATCCTCCCCTACTCCAAACAGGAAGTCTTTCTTCCTACCTACCCCATCCCAGAAGGCTCTAACCTCACCTACCCAATACCAAGGAGCATTCAGCCCACCCACCACATTGGACAAGATCCCTGCCGACTCCAGCACGTTGCCAGCAGGAAGTCATGGAGTCCACCTGCTGGAGAGAAGCCAGCCTGAAGTGAGACCTGAGCCCGTGGTGATAGTGGGAGCCCAGGAGACAGATGTGGAAGAGCACAGGGCCCAGACTCAGTCCCTGGAGTTGCCCTTCGGTGCAACCAAGAAGACATCCGAGGAGGTCCTGGTCAGCAAAACACGGGAGATGACCTTAGAGGGCTTGAAGGGCATGGGGAAGTTGGAGGACAGGGTTTCCAAGAAGAAGCAGAAGATCACTGTGGATCTGCCAGGCGTCAAGTCCAAGGAGACAGAGCAGCAGAAGAAATGGATCAAGAAGAAGGAGCTGAGCCTCCATGGGCCTGCGCCAGAGCACAGCAGGCCCTTGTCGGTGGAGGGCCTTGCCCTCGCCAAGCTGATGATCATGGCCAGCTCCAAGGAGCAGCACTCAAGACCAGCAGTGATGACTCTGCCTTCCTGGCTCTCCATGAATTCCAAGGAGTCCTCTTTGTCTAGGGTGCCCTCAGTGTCCCCCAAACACAGCCAGCTATCCTGGCTGAAGGGGCCACCAGTGGTGGTCAGGGAGCAACCTGAGTCAGTCACCTGGATGAAGGACAGCATGCAGCACTGGGTAGAAGTGGAGGAGCCATCCTGGGATCCAGAGGACCATTCCAAGGTGTCCTTGCGGTCCTTGTCTGCGTCCAGCAGCCTGTGTGTGCCCAGTGGTCCCCGGCCTCCCATCCCTCTGCCTGCCACCAGGTGGGAGGACCTGCCACAGTCACCTATTCCACTGCCACCCTCAAGGATGGAGGCCCCAACCAGGATGCCCCAACAGCCCGTGAGATTATCTCAAGAGCCCATCCAGATGCCCAAGCAGCAGCCCGTGGCTATGATGGGGTCGTCCCCGGACATTCTCTTGCCAATGCTCTTGGAAATTGACAGCGTGAGAGCTAAGGCCACCCAAGTGGAGGTGATAAAGGAGGAAATGGGCATCTCCTCTGCCCTTCCCAGGTATTTCGGCTAACAGTCAACCTTTACTGCCAACTCCATTACCTGTGAGGTAGAAATGATCATCCCTTCCTATCACTTTTCTTCTGCACTTGATAGAACTGAGTGTTGACCGTGTGCTAGGCATTGTTCTAGGCACCAAGGAGAGCAATGAGTAACGGGAGAGAGGACATGCTGTCTTCAAGACAGAGGAAGTAATTCCTTCTTTCCGGTTTTCTTCATGCACTAGGTATACACTGAGTGTCAACTGTGTGCTCGGCATTGTTCTGTACTAGGCACAGAGCATCAAGGAGTGGGGAAGCCGTGCTACTGACACCCAGTGGGCGGAGGTCAGGAACGCTGCTAAGTGTCCTACAACGCACAGGACTGTCCTCCTCCACGTTTTGAGGAGAAGAACGCTGGCAACTGATTGATGTTTGAAAGGCTCTCTCCGGTTGGAGTGTCAGAGGATGTGGAAGGAGAATGGGGGCAACTGGAGTGTCTGTTATAATAATCAGGCTTGAGGTGATGGTGGCTTGGACAAGAGGGGAAGTTGGTGTTGAGAAGTGGTGGGATTCAGGAGGTATTTTGAAGGTGGATGAGTAGATTGGGTCATGGGTTGGACATGTGACGTGGAAGAAAGAGTGGACTCAAGGGTAACAGTGAGGTTTGGGGTCTGAGAAGCTGGAAGCAGTGACCATCAACAGCAATGAGGAAGACAGTGAGTGGAGTAGGCTTGGGGAAGATCAAAATCATGATTTTGAGATGTCATGGGAAGACCCTGGAAAGGCAATGAGTGGATGTTTGAGCCTGGAGTTCAGGGGATATGATTTAAGGAGTCACCAGAGTACGGACAGTACTTAAAGTAATGAGACAAGATGAGGCCACCAGCATGCAAGTGTAGATGGATGTCTTAGTTATGTAGTGGTGGCTTCACAGAAATACCACAAGGGGATGTCTTTAACAAACAGAAACTTATTTTCTCACAGTTTAGGGGTATAAAAGTCCAAATTAAGAGTGCTGGCTCTAGGGAAAGGCTTTCTCTCTGTGGCTCTGGAGGAAGGTCCTTGTCTCTCCAGCTTCTGTTTCCTGGACCCTTGGAGATCTCCATGTGGCTTGGCCTCTAGCTCCTCCCTGCTTGCCAGTTCTGCTCCTTTTATATCTTGTAAGGGATTGACTCAAGACACACCCTCACCAATCCTGCCTCATTAACATAACAAAAACAACCCATTCTGAAATGGGATGACAACCATAGGCATAGAGGTTAGGATTTACAACACATATTCTGGGGGGACAAAATTCAAACCACAACAATAGGGAAGAGAGAAAGTCCAGGGTGTTTAGAAAAAGAGGAACCAAAGTCAGTGACATAACAGACAAGCAAGAGCCAGGGGTGTCCTAGACACCAAGTGAAGAAGTGGGAAGGGAAAGTGAGGACCATCCGGTCAGACGCTGCCAGCAGACCAAGGAAGAGGAGGACTGAGATAAGACCTCTGGATTCGTCTTTGTGGAAGTGATGTGGTGGGACAACTGGGGTAGGACTGAAAACAACTACACCATACCTCACCCATACGGTCAGGTTGATTCTGACTCAGGGTGGGCCATGTGTTCCAGAGAACTGCTCCAGAAGGGTCTCTTGACTGTAATCTCTACAGAAAGGAGTGCTGGTGGCTCAGTGGTTAAGCACTCGGCTGCTAACTGGAAGGTCGGTGATCTGAATCTACCAGCAGCTCCGCAGAAGGAAACACCTGGCCTTCTGCTCCTGTCAAGGTAACAGCCGAGGCAACCCCAGGGGCCGCTGAGTCCGAATCAAGCAGCAGCAACAATCTGTAGAAGCAGCTCCCACCAGACCTTTCCTCTCCAATGTCACTGGGTGGGCTGGACCGCCGACCCTTGGGTTAGCAGCCGACCACAAATCCACCGTGCTGTCAGCGGGGCCGGGAGCAAGACCAAGAGAGTATGAACAGGACTCCACGCGCTGCAAAGTGGATGAACCCGGGAGACACGGGCTAAGTGACAGAAGTCAGACTCCAAAGGCCACACCCACACATCCATTTATAGGAAAGATCAGAGTAGGCCAGTCCACAGGGACAGGGCACATAACGGGGGGGGGCAAGGTTTCCCTCAGGGCTGTGGAAATGTTCCAGGAATCGATAGCAGCGAGGGCTGCAGTGTTGTGCGTGGACGTAATATCACGAGTGCACACTTTTAAATGGCTCAGATGGTGACTTGTACTTGGGAACAAGGAGCAGACCAGCTCTGGTGAAGAATTCAGCTGGAAAGGGAGGAGGGAAGTGGAGAGACGTCTGGTGGAGGAAGCGGAGACGAGAAAGGGCTGTGAAGGAGTCAGGCACAGTTTCGCATTAGGATTTGGTGTGAATGACCCAGTCAGGCCTGGTATTGACGAGGCAGGAGAAAGAGAAACGTAGTAGGGAAACAGGTCGGTTTGGAGGTGAGGCCACCTGCACAGGTGTGTGGGGCCCAGGCTGCAGCCCAGGCTCGCCTGTCTCCAGAAGCATGCTGCTGGCTGCCACTGAGTCAGTCCCGAGCACGGTGACCCCATGCACAAGGGAGATGCTGCCCGGTCCCGGGCCAGGCCCATCATCCTTTGCAGACTGGCCCGTCATGCTCCACACGGCTTTGTTGTTGTTTTTATACCAGTTTATTGTGTTTTCGGGGAAGGTTCACACAGTTTAGGTTCCCATTCAACATTTACACCCACCTTGTCCGGGGACCCTGGTTACGACCTTCACGACGTGGGGACAGTCTCAGCCTTTCCATTCGGGTTTTGGTCGCAGTCATCTACAGGCAGGCCTTGGAGAGATGGTAGGTTCCGGCCCTCACCCCTGGCCCTTAGGTGAACATTGCAATAAAGTGAGTCACTTGGATTTGTTGATGTCCCAGTTACGGTGACATCATACTGCTGTTACTTGTGCACTAAACCAGAAGCCAAACTCATGGTTGTGGAGTTGGATCCGACTCATAGCGGCCCCTCCTTGGGTTTCTGTGGCAGTATCACTATGGAAGTAGATTGCCCAACCTTTCTTGCAAAGAGTGGCTGGTGGATTTGAACCGCCAGCTTTCGGGTTAGCAGTCAAGTGCCTTAGGCAGTACGCTACCAGAGCTCCTAAGTGTGTACCAGCATGATGAAAAAGTTAGAAATACTGTGCGAATTACCAAGATGGGACACAGAGACGTGAACTGAGCAGATGTTGGAAAAACGGTGCTAACAGACTTGCTTGAAGCAGGACTGTCACAAACTACCCGCTATCTGAGAAGCTACCTGAGAAGCGCAATGAAACGGAGGTTGGCCTGTGGTTTCCCACGCCTTACCTTCTCGTCTGTGTTGTACGGATCTAACTGTTGACGCTTTGGTCTCCCAGAGCAGCTATGCTTTGGTTTGTGAGGCAATCTGTTATTTCACTACAAGGTGAGCTCTGGGGCTAGCTCACTGCAGGGTCTGAAGGGCACCTCAAGGCAACAGTCTTGGAGCATCCTCTGGTCTCCATCAGTCCAGGAGGCTTTTTGATTTTTTTTTTTTTTTTTTAGGAACTTGAAGTTCTGTTCCACATTTTTCTCCCATTTGCTCAGGGTCCATCTGTTGTGGCCATGACTGATTACAGCGGCAGGTACTGGTAGCCGGGCACCATCTAGTTCTTCTGGTCGTTTTTCAGAAGTCAGTCACCAGGCCTCCCCTATTAGTCCATGTTACTCTTGGAAGCATCCTATGGCACACAAGCCCCCACTGACAGTCAGTGGTCACCCAGTGTTTAACGCCAGCCCCCCAAGGCCCTCGCCTGCTTTCTCCTTCCAGTGTGCAGCGCCCCCAGCGTTTCTGACGGCAGGATGCAGGCAGCAAAAGCCGCAGAGTCCACAGGAGCGGTGGCCAGGTACCAGAGACCCTGGAGACCCTCGCTGGCCTGGGGGTTCCAGGAGTCCAGCCCCCACCCTCACTCTTCGCTCTTCCCCTGCAGGTGGTACCCAGAGAGCAGTGCACCACTACTGGAAGAAGCGGGGTGCTGAAGAAGCCGGCCAGGGGGGCGCCTCCCTCTCCAGTAGAGACCAGAGCTATCTATACATTTATATACTGGGGAGCAAGGGGGGGTGGGGAAAGCCCGCAGAACAGCCCAAGTTCACAGAGATTAAACGCCTGAGCCCCAGGCTCGCATACATCCGACGTCCTTGCGTGCACCCTGGGGGATCCCGGCCATGCTGGGTGGGCTTCTGGCCCCAAGGGGGCGTCGCAGGCTGGAGGCGGAGGTGGGCGGGGCGCCCTCGCCCGCCACACGTCTCTCGGAATAGTCCTTGCGGCGCAGTGGCTCCCATTGGCTGGGGTCCTGCGGCTTCCAGCCAATCCGGGCTGGGGGTCGCGCGTTTCCGAGGCTGGCGGGACGCCCGAGACTCCAGTTAGGCCCTGGAAGCCAGGGGAGCCCCGGGGAGCCGGCACAACGCGACTCAGTGGGGACGGTTGACATCAGACTGGTGGGCCAGGAGAGTGGGATCAGGAGCCCGGCGGGGGTGTGGACGCGGGGGTCGGGAGCCTGGGGGCGGCCCCGCCTCACAGATCCCTCCTCCCGCCCCGCAGGACTCACCTTCTCCGTGGATGCTGGATATGAATATCCAGAAGCCCCCCAAGGGGAAATGGCACACGCCGCCCTTCGACCCTCGCTTCCCCAACCAGAACCAGACCCGTAACTGCTACCAGAACTTCCTGGGTGAGAGCGCGCAGGGGCTGAGTTCGCGTGGACTCACGAGGACAGGCCGCGAGAGACTCTCCATCCGCCACGGGGGTCCCGGACTGACCGAGACCGTTGGCGTGGGGGCGGGGACGGCGAGCACAGGAGGGGCGGGGCCGAGATAGGCGGAGGGGCGGGACTAGAGGGGCGGGACTAGAGGGGCGGAGAGGAGCCTGGAGTGGAGGAGAGTGCCCTGCGGGGAGGGAGAGGGGGCGTGGTGAGGCCGGGATGAGAGGAGCGAGTCCGAGAGGATGAGCGTGGGAGAGGCGGGGCCTTAGTGAGGGGGCGGAGCCAGGCCTTGAGGGAAGGGAGAGAGGGCGTGGTGAGGCCGGGATTTGCTGAGCGAGTCTCAGTGGAGAAGCGTGGGAGGGGCGGGGCCTGAGAGAGGGGGGCGGGGCCAGGTCCTGCGGGAAGAGAGAGGGGCGTGGTGAGGCTGGGAGAAGCATGAGGGGCGGGGCCGGCCGCGTGACTCCGCCTACTGCCCCTCCTGCAGACTACCACCGCTGTCTCAAGACCATGAACCGGCGCGGGAAGAGCACGCAGCCCTGCGAGTACTTTTTCCGCGTGTATCACTCGCTGTGCCCCATCAGCTGGGTGAGGGGGCCAGAGGGGGACGGACGGGGAGCGGGTGGAGGGCTCCGGTCGAGCCTGAGCTTGCCCTCCGCCTCTCCCCCCAGGTTCAGCGCTGGAATCAGCAGATCCAAGACGGTACTTTCGCGGGCAAAATCTGACTGTCCGAACCGGACTTCCGAGGGACCAGCCTGCGACCGCCGCCCCCGCGGTGCGAGTCTCGCAGCGACCCGCCTCCCATTTCTAAGCCACAAATAAATTGAGGACGTAGCTGGCGTCTCCCTTTAGCGTCTGCCCGGGATGGCTGGTTCCTCTAGGAGGGCTCAGGGCCCCGGGAGCGCACCCGGCGCGTTCTGGGGCCTGGGTGCACCCTCGGGCCTAGGTGTTGGCAGCGGAGCCTGTCTCTACGGTAGGAGCAGGCTGAGCCCCCTTCCTGCTCCCATCAGGAGTGGGGGCCCTCTGCTCCTGGCACCCCCTTTGGCTTCCGAGGTCATTACACTCCCCACTAGATGGCTCCAGCTGTCTGCCTCCATCCCGTCACTTACCTGTCACGCAGGTCCCCTCGCCATCCCCACCCGCCCGCTCAGCCGCCTTCCCTGGGGCCAGGACACCTCCCCAGCTCCCCTTTCTCCCCGTTCCTCAGCCCACCGACACTTTGGGCCCTGATGGTCGTCTTTGCACCCGGTCTCGGGTGGATTCCCCAACGCTGAAGGGCTGGGATTGGGTTGAACAGTGTTAACGGTGGTCCCTGGTGCCCGTGAACATGACCTTGGGTGGAAATCGGGTCTTTGAGGGTGTTCTCGGCACTAACCCTGTATGAGCGGCATCCTTATAGGAGACACCATGTGAACACGGCTACAAGCCAAGGGGCGCCGGGACTACCAGGACCAGGAGGGACGAGGCAGGATCCTCCCTGGGCTTGGCAGACAGCATGGCCCTGCTGTGCCCCCAGTCGCCCCCACCTTCCCCTCAGTGCTGACACTCTGGCCTGTGACAGGATTTGTTCTAATCCATCCCACCATTGGACACTGGGACCATCTCTGCACGGGTGCCAGCGGCTCATTGTCACCTCTGACAGCTGCTCTCCCAAGTGGGCACCCCTGAAACTCCACCTGGAATGTTTGGTGGTGTGAACCCACCAGCTGCTCTGAAGGAGCAAGATGAGGCAGTGGGCTTCCGAGACCCTCTGGGGCGGTTTTGTGTCATCTAGGGGCGCCATGAAGTGGGAGGCAGCAGCGATGGGTTTGATTTGGTTTAGAATCTTCACGGGCCTGGACCGCCTGATCTTCCTGCCATGGAGCCGTTGTTGGGTTCAAACCCATGACCTTTTGGTTGCCAGCTGAGTGATTAACCACTGTGCCACCAGGGCTCCTTTGGGTCCAAGGGTGGCCACTATTAACCATGAACCCTTGCTGAGTGACCCTGGGTGAACCTCTTGACCTCTGTGGCCTTCTTTTCCCTCCTAGGTCACAGCTGGGGAGCATTGGTGGCATAGTTCAGTCCTGCCCTTGCCTGGCAATGACTAACCCCTGCCCTCTCCACCCCACCCAGGGCCACACCCAAGACATGTTATCTCCCAGTGACTCCAGCTTGGGGACTCTGGCCTCCTCCGACCACGACTGGACAGGTGTGAGTGTGGCTCAGTGCTCAGGGAGTGGATGCGCCTGGAAGGAGGCTGGCACCTGCAGCCTTCTCAGAGCCACAGGGATAGGCGCTTCTCAGCACCCTGGACCCGGGGCTAATGGTGACATCACACACACACGTGGCCTCCTAACCACAGGGCCCGACTCCAGAGTCATCAAGCACCCGTCCACCAGCCCCCTTCCACCCTTCCTCCTATTCTTCCTGACCACACCCCACCATTCTCCCCCTCCAGCTCTGCCCCCCAGCCCACCTCAACACCAGCACCTTCCCCTCAGCCTGCAAACAGGATCTGGAGGAAAACAACAGCGTCTCACAGGTTTTGCATCGAAGATGAAGTTTTCTCTGCAAAAGGAAAGAGGAAGGTTATATCCAACCATTGCACAGTCAAACCTGCAGAAGGCAGAATAATCCAGGTGAGGTAGAAGCCTGTCCAAGAAGGAAAACCCAAGTGCTGAGACTGCACCCCGTCAAAGGTGGGAAACCAGAGAGGCCCAGCACGCTCCGGCTCTCGCAGGGCATGGCAAGGAATTTTAAAGAATTTTTAAGTACGAGGAGATCCCTGCTCTGCAGGGTCCCCGCTCCCCAAGTCCTCCTGGCCTTTCTGTCCTCTCCCCTTTCCTATCGGCTCTCTCTCCACCAGGGGTCCCCAGAGGACTTTGGGACGGACACACACAGCTCTTGTTACCCTCCAGGATGGCCTTTTCCAAAGGCTGCTAAGCTCTGCTGGGGGGCCTGGGCAGCCCCCATCTCCGCCTCCATGCAGCCTACCCAGGGAAGCAGGAGGCCTCCATGACACAACGTCTGAGACGCTTAGCATGGGGCCCGCCACACAGTACGCTGTTCGTTGTTAGCTTAGAATGAAAGGCTGCCCGGTCCTGTGCGATAGACTTTGGAAAAACTGGCCAGCGACACCCTCGTGACCAGCAGGGGAATGCTGTCTGATACAGTGCTGGAAGGGGAGCCCCTCAGGCCGGCAGGCTCGCCCCACCGGGGAAGAGCTGCCTCCTCGGAGTGGTCAACCTTAATGACGTGGAACAGAGCTTCCGGCACCCTCGTTTCCGATGTGGCATGACTCATAACGGGAAGAAACAGCTGCAAACACCCCTTAGTAACGGGACAGTGGAAAATCCTTGTTACTACTGCAAGTTAGAAGACAATGGCAAACCTAAGACACTGAGCCATGTCTGTAAGACGGACCGGTCAGCAGAGACCTTGAGACACAGAGGAGAAGGCAGGGAGACCCGGTGAACAGAAACAGGACCAACCAAATGAGGTGTGCCCCCGTCCTGAAGAACGGAACCGTCCCTGCATGACTGGTGGGGACACTGTTGAAGGGAACCCCAAAGCACCGTGTGAACCTTCACCAGAAACACGAGGAGGTTATTCTTTGAAAAATCAAGACACCGAGTTGGGTCTGGAGAAACAAGCCGATGCACTGGCCTGGTCTCCTCCGGAGGCTGGGCCCCAAGAAGGCTCGACAGAGGGGAGGTCTCAGCAGGCCTGAACGGAAAGCCAAGCTCTCCAGACCCTGCTTGGGGGGTGCTGGGCGCCCATGCCACATGGCTGCCCCCACCTCTGAGGTGGCGCCTCAGCTGGGAAGAGGCCGTGAACCACGTTTGAGGCGTTTCCTATCAGTGCCAGCAGTGATGTGATCGTGCGGCCACAGGGCAGGTGCCCGTGGGTCCCCAGCCCTCTGCCCTCCCTCAACCCGTTATCTGGAGCCCCCAGGCTGGTGCTGCACCTCCTGCTCCCCTCAGCAAGGCCGAGCCCCACCCCCCACTGATGTCCCCTGGAAACAACACGCTCCCAAGGGGCTGCTTATAACAAGGTTTTAATAAAATAAAATAAAAAGTTCAAGTGCTTCCAATCCCCCCCCCGGCACACTGGTTCCAGAGTGGGGGAGGGAAGAGGAGGGCACCCCCTTTTGATGCCCCAGTAGCACCAGGGATAGCACCATGAGAAAGACGAGGTGGTGTCCCCCCATCTTCCCCGCCTCAGATAGCTGCGGAGCTGGGCACAAACCCACACCCTTGGGGGGCAGGGGGCACTGGCCAGGGAGCCACCCCCCCAACAGACACCTCCTCCTGAGGCCTGGCTTCTGGGGGTGCCGCGTGGGGCGGCCCCACCCCCTATGGCTTTGCTCCCTGGGGAGGGGTGGCTGAGGCAGGCGCGGGGGTGGGGGTGCCCCTTCTGTCCTGAGGTGGGTGTGGGGGGGGGCAGCAATGGCCAGGGCTCCCTGCCGGGCTGGGGGTGGCTCAGGGATCAGCAGAGGGCCAGGGACCAGATCCCTGGGCCTGTCCCAACCAGTCCCCTCTCGGGGGTCAGAGCTGTGCTGGGGTCAGGGGTCAGCACCCTCCCAGAGGCCCCAGGGCTCCTTCTTGAGGTCCTCAGATCCCTCCAGACCGGCGGGCTGGGGGAACGGTAGGCAGGACCTCCCCACACACAGCCTTGCTGTCCAGCCTGTCAGGGCTCATCAGTGCCGTGGACGTCCAGGTCAATGGAGCCATGGCTGACCACCAGCCGCAGGCGCTTGGGTGGGGAGAAGGGTGTGAAGGCCAGGCCCTGCTTGGGGCCGGGGCCGGGGCTGGGCGCTGGGGGCTTGGTGGGGACAGCCAGGGCGGCCGGGGCCGGGGCCAGGCGGCTGAGGTCCACACGAAGCACACGAGGCAGCTGGTAGCGCCGGGCCCAGTACCAGTCCTGCTGGGGGGCCCAGTGGGCCCGGGGAAGGCGGTCCAGAGCCACCCGCACCTCCCCCTGAAGCAGGCAGCGGGGCCCGCAGCCGCCCCACGGGTGCAGGGCGATGCGGACAGCGGGTAGCAGTGGGGGTGCAGGGGTCCTCCGGGGCCGGGGCCGGCGACGTCTTCGGGGTCGTGCTCGGGACAAGGGGCGCAACAACCACTGCAGCCAGACAGGTGTGATGGCATCAGGGTGGCTGGGGAGAGGCTGGCAGGCGGCTGTGGGATAGAGGGCAGACGGGCGAGCGGTCAGCGGCCAAGCCCTTGGGCCCACTCATTCTCCACCATGGGTGCCACTGAGCGCCTAGGGACAGAGGTGATGGCCAGTGGCAGGCAGGGTGAGGGGCAGAAAGACAGGAAGGGTGCCAGGACCACGGAGTGGAGGTCTGCTCACCACAGAAGAGGTCACGGTGCAGCGGGGATGGGTGGGTGCAGGCCCGGAGGCCCCGCAGGCCCCTCCAGCCACCACTGGCCTGGCCTTGCTGCAGCCGCCGCTTGGTCTCACGGAGCTCGTACTTGTCCAGGGCCCGTGGTGGGGGTGGTCCAGGCTCCTTGGGCCGCAGACGGAAGGCCCCCTCGCCTTTCCTGGGAGACACAGGAGACAGGGTTGGCAAAGGTTGAGGCTGTCCGACAGCCTGGCCACCCCAACTGTTGTAGGTGTCACGCCCACCATGCACCCCAGCTGCCCCAACTGTCGTGGGTGTAGCTCCCACCATGTGCCCAGGCCGCCCCCCCCCCAAAGGTGTCAACCCTCCACCCCACCCCTCCCAGGGGCCAATCCCCCATACGTGTTTTCTGACTGCCTCACCCTTCCCAGGGGCCGCCCCCATGTGCATCCCGACCACCCCGGCCCTCCCAGATATAGCTCCTACCAGGCGTACCAGACACCCTAGCCCTCCCAGGTGCAGCCCATGCGTGTGTCCCGGCTGCCCACCCCTCCCAGGGGTCACCCCCGCGTGTACCCCGGCCGCCCCAGCTCTCGCAGGTGTAGCCCCCACGTGTGTCCCGGCTGCCCACCCCTCCCAGGTGCAGTCCCCACTATGCGCCCCACCGTCCCCCTCCCCGGGGCACCCCCACATGCACCCCGGCCGCCCCACCTCTCGCAGGTGTAGCACTCGCAGTGCTCGTTTTTCTCTCCGAAGAAGCCATCGCCGTAGAAGCACGTCACCTCGTCCCCCGGCTCGATGTCCCGCAGCACCTTCACACAGGCCGCGTTCCCATCTGCAGGCACAAACTGGGGGCCGCGCTGCTCAGTCCCCACCTGGCGGAACCTTCCCCTCTTCCCACCAAGGCCCTCTCCTGGGACAAGGCCCAGGGCTCCCTTCCCTCCACAAGCTCCCCCCGGGGGACCTGCCTGCTGGCGGGGCTGCCACCTCCTACAGGACGCTGCTCGGGCCTGGCCCTTGGTGGGCACACTGCCACTGCTGCGTCTTCCCCGGCGCCCCGGTCCCACCTGCCCTGGCGCATCCCGTCCCTGTCGGCACACCCGTCCCTGCCGCTTCCGAGCTCGTTCTCCCGGCTGGCTCTGATCCTGGTCAGGCCCACGCTCGGGCTCTAGCTGCCCTCGCCACCGGCCCCCAACGCCCGCTGCGGCCCCGCTTTGAGAGTGCGCTCCTGCCGGGCCCTGCCCCTCATGCCTGCTACTGCCTCCACACTGGGGAGCCGGGGTGTCCTTCCCTCCCCTCCCCATGCCTTCCCCATCTGGAAAGCAAGGTGAGCACCACCTGTCCACCATGTGTCCGTCTGTCCACTCAGGCCTGACACATGCCCAGGAGCTGCATGGGCTCAAGCCAGCCACTGCCTCTGTCCCCTCTCTGTCCCTGATGCCTAGGTGGGACCGGCCATGCCAGCACCTCCACAGCCACAGGGACAAATACCTGCCTGCTCTGCCCCTTCCAGCAAGGCCCAGGGCAAGGGGAGCTCAGGGGGTGACCTCCCACGCTCTTTAGAGAGCCTTGTTCGCTTGGCTGTGAACAAAAAGTTGGTGGTTCAAACCCACCAGCTGCCCCGTGGGCTTCCACAAAGGTTAGAGTAGCTTAGCTCATAGAGTCACTACGAGTCACATCGACCGACAAGATGGCAATGGGTTTGGGTTTTTACAACCTCATTCCCCGACCCAGTGCTCCCCTCCAGGTCTTACCTTACAGTTGGGTTTGCAGTCTGGAGCCCGCAGAGGGTAGAGTTTGGAAAGAAGAGAGAAGCGAGGTGCGTGAGGGGTCCCTGAAGAGGTGGGCCTCCTGCTGCCCCTGCCCACCGCCCCACGCCTGCGCCAAGCCTCACCATGGTTGATGAAGGCGGCGGGGCCGAGCCACAGCTGGGCGCTGCGCTTGCGGGTGGAGTACATGATGCTGAAGTCGTTCTCCCCGGCCCTCAGCAGCCCCTCGTCGGACTCGCGCAGCTCCGCCACACAGCCCACCAGCAACTCCAGCTTCTCGTTCTTCTTCCTGAGGGACCGGCTGTGAGCCACGCCTCCCGCGCAGCGCCGGCCCACGGACAGGGCCGCCTCCCGGCCGCTGGACCAGCCACGCGTCCGTGCGCGCCCGTGAAGCCTGTCCCCGTCTCTGCGTACACGTGTCCTGTCCACCCCCGCTCCCCACCTGGCCGGGCTCCTGTCCTCCTGAGGCTGACGGAGGAACCTCGTGCTCCCGACCCTGCTGGGGCTGCTCTCCGTCCCCACCTCCCGGTGCCACACCCTGTGCCCGCCCCACCGACCTCAGCAGAAACCCGGCTGCTCGGCACTCTCTCCAAACGCCCCAGCCGGCCCCTGTACGGTGCACCCCGTAGCTAGGCTGCAAACCCTGCAGGCGTCTACCCCATTCCCTGGCCTGTCCCCAGTCTCCACCACAAAGGCGGGGCTCAGCAGGGAAGGAGGAAAGGAAAAGGCAGCCCTGGGAGCCCGAGCTTGTCTGGGGTCGCATCCCCAACAAGGTGGTGGTGGGCAGCAAGGGTCTTAGCCTGGCCCTGCCTCTGTCCCACAGTCCCTGGGGAACCAGCAGGCTCCTCTCTGTTCAAAAAATCTCTTTGCAGATGACACGAACACGGGGTCTGCGTGGCCTCCCTTCAGCCCCCACCTCATCTGCCTTCTCCCCTCGGCGCCCCCACCGCGTCCTTGTCCTCCCCCAGCATCCCTCCTTCTGCCGGTGCCCATTAGGCCCGGGACCTCTTACCAGGAGCGGGTGGACACGATCTTGGCCCCGTTGGTCTCCATGGAGTAGCGGGTACAGGGCAGGATGGTGAAGCCACTTTCAGGCAGGAAGGCGCGGAGGTACCGGTAGATCTAGGGGAGTGGAGGGGACGGCGGGGTGAGAGGCGGGCGGGCTGCCCCTGGCCCTCTCCAGGGGGCTAGGCCTGCTCTGCGTCCTGCTCTGCCGTGTGGCCTCACTTCCCCTCTCAAGGCCTCCGTCTCCTCGTCTGTCTAACGAAGAGGGTGGACTCCACCTCAGGGGGCCCCCCAACTTGCCTGTCCTGGGACTCTGAGCCTTGCCTCGATGGCCCGAGTGGCTGGGAAGTCAGGGGGGCCTGGGGCAGGCAGAGGGGCCGGGGCAGAGACCGGGGGGCCAGGGGAAGGGAAGGGCACCCTCACGTGGGTCTTGAGGGCAGCCTCCTGCCGCGGGCCCCGGCTCTGGAAGTAGTGGGTCATCCAGCCTCCCAGCGTCAGGGCCCGGTACGCAGCCTCCAGGTCCCGCTGCCTCAGGAAAGCCTCCAGCGCTGAGCGCAGGTGGTGCCGTCGCCGCAGCGGGGGCACGGGGCTGGGGGAGAGGGCACGCCTGGGTCCCAGGGCCTCGGCCTACGTCCGTCCTGGCCTTGCCGGCCCAGCCCCACCCCCCAGGGGTGCTGGGAGCTGAGCCAGGGGCCGGGCCCGCAGCCCTGGGCCCGCCCTGGCCCGCGGGCCGCCTCACCTGACGTTCATCTTGTGGGTGCGGAAGCCGAGGTAGGGGTCAAGGACCAGGCTGGTGGCCAGGTCGTCATTCTCGCAGAGCTCTCGGGCAGTCACTCTGTCCGGCCCCATGGTGCCCCACGGACCATGCTGCTCCTGGTGGAAGGCAGAGGGTGGGTGACGACAGGGCAGGGGTGGCGGCAGAGCCCGGGACCGGGGGGGCTCAGTTCTGCACCTGCTGGGCCTGTGAGCTGGGTGCTCACTGCGGGGGGCGCTATTCTCCTTGCGTACAGACCATGGGCAGGTCGGGGAGACAAGGGCCGTCAGTGATATCAACACTGATATCAACACTGCAAAGCTCGGCAGGTGACCTACACTGAAGGTGGGAGCCTCAAGCCAATGACTCAGTCTCTGGCCCCACTGTCTCCTCTCACGTGGGACACAAACCTCCAAACACCCTCCATGTGTGCACACACAGACCCTGACACACATGGACCCCCCCTCTCATGTAGTCTTCTACATGATTACACACATATCCATATACACACACAGCCAGACACCCCCACTGAGTGTACACACAGACCTCAACACACATGGGCCCTGACTTGCACTCTCGTGACACACTGCCTTGCATATGCACACACGTGTGGCGATTACAGACACCTCCATGAGTATACACACAGACCTCAACACACGTGGGCCCTGACTTGCACTCTCCTGACACACTGCCTTGCACACACACATACACGTATACACGTGTGGAGATTCCACACACATCCATGAGCACACACATCCAGGCACCCCCAGCAGTACACACTCACACAGCTGACCCCCACTCCTGTACTCCTGACCCCCACTCAGTCTGCAGACCGAGTGCACACGCATTTGCACACAGCCATCACACACACACTCCCGTGTGCACACACAGCCAGGCATCCCGACAAGTACACGCTGACCCCCACCGTGGTACTCCCGTGACCCCGCACACGCGCGCACACGGACACACACCCGGAAATGACTCACGCACGCGTCCCTCCGCCCCGGGCCGGCTGATTAACCGGCGGTCCGGGAGGAACCGGGGGCTGGGCCCTGCGGGAGGAGAGCTAGTGCCCCCTCCCGCCGCACGGGTGTCGCGAGGCTCGGGGCGCCCCCCAGCAGCCCGGGGAGAGCCCGGCACCTGCTCCCTGCGGGGGGCGGAGGACAAAAGGGGGGCAGACAAGGCGGCAGCGCGCGGAGAGGCGAACCGGGGTCGCAAGAGGGCGCCGGCCCCGCGGGGTGACAGGCTGCGCGGAGGAGGCGCTCGGGGCCGGGCCACCGCTGGGGCCGGGGGCGGGCACTCGGCGGGGCTGCAAGACGCCGGTGCGAGGCAGCCGGGACCCGGCGGGCCGCACGGGGGCTACACACCCGGCCTGGGCGCCACGGGCACCGGGGACGGCGCCGAGGGGCCCGGGGAGCCGAGGGCAGAGGCTGGCGAAGGGCCTCGGGCCCGGGGAAGGCCGACGGGGGCCTGGGTGGACGCTGAAGGTGCAGGACCGGGCCCGGACGGCCCTGGGGGGCCCGGGGACAGTGCCGTAAGGACACAACACAGAGCAGACCCAGGGCCGAAAGGACGGGCCGGCGGGTCGAGGGAAGGGCCAGGGCAGGCCTGGGGCTCCAGGAAGAGGCTGGGAGCCAGACGCGGGTCGAGGGCTGCAGCGGGGCTCCGGGTCCAGGGGGGCCCTAAACACTCAAAGAGGCCCTCGGGGGCCAGGGAACGGCCCAGGGGTGCAAAGAGGGGTCTGAGGAGGCCAGGGGGTGCAGGGAGGGGCCGGGGTCAGGAGCCACAGGGAACGGGCTGAGCACCGGGGCAGCCTGGGCCCGCAGAGGTGAGGCGCCTGCACGCGAGGACCGCGGGGGGTGCAGGACCGTCGGGACTGGGGGCGACTGGGAGCCAAGGCGGCGCGGGGCGGGGGCTCAGAGGGGGCTCAGAGGTCGGGCCCCGCGCCGCCCCTCACCCGCTTCTCCTCCTCCTCAGGCGCCCGCGCCGCCGCCGCCACCGCCACCACCTCCCACTGCCTCCTCCGGCTCTCGTCAGGCACAGTCGCCGCGCCTCCCGTCTGCCCCGCCGGGCCCGCCCCGCCACGGCCTCCTTGGGCTCCTATTGGCTGACGTCGCCGCCATTCATGAATTACTAAGAAGCTCTCGCGGCTCCCATTGGTCGAGACGAACTCCGGCCCTCCCCGCCCGACCCCCGCCAGTGCCCCCACAAAACCCCGCCACGCCCGCGCTGCCGTCAAGCGCCGCCAACTACTGCTACTGGCTCATATAGCTGTCTTCCCAACGCTGCCATGGAGATGTATTCCCGCCTCCTCATTCGCAGGGGCCTGAAGTCAACGCCCTCATTGGCAGAAAGCAGTGTCGCTCCGGGCTAAACTCGGGTTGGGTCAGGCTATTCAGGTCCCAGAAGATAGAAGGCGGGCTCTGCCGGCTCCAGAACTCGTACATGATTGGCTGATAGTGGAACAGCTCATACTCCCATTGGCTAAGGTCTCCGGCTGTCACCATAGAGTCGTGACCTCCCTCTTCTCTTTCTCTGGTGAAACCTACGGCCACAGGAGGGAGAAAGCAGGGGCGACGGGATGGAGGGGTGGCGAGAAGGTGAATGCGCGCGCACCTCCATCGCCCCGCCCAGCGAGGCCTGGGGTTGCCAAGGTGACAAAACTTTATCGACAACCCAGCCTGTGCACAAAGGACTCTTCACTTCCTCTCGCTCCCAGATCAGCCGGCTTCCTGAAAATACCCACTTTAATTTTTGAAGCATCAACTGTAAATCTGTGGAGACCTTCTTGCGATAGGAACGGATCGGAAAGAAGGAGATTGAGAATGGGGGCTTTGGAGACAGCTGCACCTCCCGACGCTCCTCTGAGACATCCCCTTCCCGTTGGGATGCCCTCTGCTTCATCCTAGAAACAATTAGCAATTCATAATAATGACGCCTAGAATGATGAGCTCCGCGCGGAAGTTGGAGTCTTTGTTTTGTTCATGGCGATAAATGCCTGCGCTTAGAACAATGCATGCCACATAGTAGGGCCTTCATTAATATTTATTAGATTAATAAATGTGTGAGTGACCAATAGGGAAGGAGCTGAGGATGTCGCTCTATGACACTGAAGAGGCTTGCCATTTCCGGGCCTCTGTTAAACAAGGACCACGCTAGTAGTCTCTGAGGAAATGTTCTGAACGCCTTCCCAGCGAATCCCGTTGTTCAGGAGCGGCGCAGTGGCTAAAGCATTCAGGTCTAGAATGGTCCGTGGTTCCACTCCACCAACCATTCCCTGGGAGAAGCGTGTAGCAGTCTGCTTCCGTAAAGATTGCCAGCCTTGGAAACTATATGGGGCAATTCTACTCTGTCCCATAGGGTCCCTATGAGTGGGATCTGCTGGCGGCCGTGGGTAACCTTTGTTCTGTTTCCTGCCCCACTAGGACTAACTCTACCTTCGTTCTTCTGCTTCTGAGCAGATCCCTCCTGCCACCAACCATCAATTTGTTGTAATGTGGCGGCTTGATGTTGCTGAGATGCTGGGAGCTGTGTGCCTAGTGGTTCAGATCCCAGCAGGGTCGCCCATGGAGACAGGTTTCAGCGGCGCTTCCAGGCTGAGACCGGGAAGAGCCAAGAGGTCTGCTTCCAGAAATCAGCCATGACGCTCCCGGGGATCACTGAAGAAGATGGTCTGATAGGGCACTGGGAGATGAGCCCCTTGGCTGGACCCAAACCCAAACCAAACCCACTGGCGGGGAGTCCTCTCCGACGCATAGCCGCCCTAGGTTGGAAAGGAACGTGGCCAAAACAGTGAGCATACAACCATCATGGAAGGTGGCCCAGGACCGGCAGCGATGCATTCTGTAGTGCCTGGGACTGCCATGAGTTGGAGCTGACTAGATGGGAATGAAAAGGAACCCTGCTGGCACCGTGATGAAGCGCTCAGTTGCTAACTGAAAGGTCGGCAGTTCCAACCCACCAGCAGCTCCACGGAAGAAAGATGGGGCAGTCTGCTTCTGTGAAGACTGACAGCCTTGGAAACCCTCTGGTGCAGTTCCACTCTGTCCTCTAGGGGCGCTGTGGGTCAGAATGGACTCCACTGCAGTGGGTGAGGTCTGGGCTTTGCTTCTGTGAAGGTTGACAGCCTTGGAGACCCTGTGGGGCAGTTCCACTCTGTCCTCTAGGGGCGCTGTGAGTCACAATGGATCCTGCTGCACACAGCTACAACAGATGGCAACTGACAACAACAAATTCCAAACCTCTGGATGCTGTCCATCAATGCAAGGCCCTGCCCCACCTAGAGGTGGCCACACTATCTTCTGAGCCTTCATAGGCTGTCAGCTCTCTTTCCAAATGGAAGTTGCTTTTGCCAGATCCCTGTGGAGTTGATTGCTTGGAACAGCCCTCAGTCTGATGGGTGTGGAGACAGAGATGGATATAGGGGTTCCAGTCTGAGTGATCCCTGCTGTAACTTACTTGGGCCTTCCACAGCAGGCAGGAACTACCAAGTCCATTTACACATGGAGAAGCAGGTTCCCAGGAGAGGGGAACGACATATCCAGGTAAGCACAAACAGCCAATCCCAAAAGCAAACCCACTGCTGTGGAGTCCATTCCGACCCACAGCGCCCCTAGAGGACAGAGTGGAACTGCCCACAGGGTCTCCAAGGCTGTCAATCTTCACAGAAGCTCACTGCCTCACCTTTCTCCTGCCAAGCAGGTAATTGTTTCCAACAGCCTACCTTTTGGTTAGCAGCCAAATGCTTTAACCACTGCGCCACCAGAGCCCTTGGCACACATCAGAGACTCCTTCCAAAGCTTATGGGACAGGGAACCCAGGGCGGTAATGAGAAGAATGCTGTTCCACTGAGGGCTTTGCAACCAATGCCAGGAAGCAACTGTTGAGGCAAATTAATGCCCTCGGTAAAGTCTTACCCAAGGCACACGGAATTTGGCAAAAAAGAATGAAATTAACCTTTCAAGCTAGTAATTAAGGAAAATTCTTAACAGTGAGAAATCAAATAGTTTTATGTGCTATTTGATGTTCAGCTCTTAAAAAGACTATGGACTTAGCCATCAAACCTTTAGGTGCCTTAAACCAGACTAAATAAAAA